AGTGAGGCACTAAGCAACTCAGTGAGACCCTGTCTCTAAATAAAATACAAAATAGGGCTGGGGATGTGGCTCAGAGACTGAGTACCCCTGAGTGCAATCCCCAGTACCAGCCCCCCCCAAAAAAAGAAGCCCTCAGGAAGACCTTTCAATTACTAGGTCTTCTGCATCTCAGAATTATTCCTCACAAGATAGGATCCTCTTATATCTCCATCACTACAGCCAGGTCCAGTCTTTCATTCACTATTATCCATACCCCCTCTTTTTTTTTTGAGACAGTCTCACTAAGTTGCTGAGACTAGTCTCAAATTCCTCAGCCTCCTGAGTAGCTGGGACTACAGGTATGGACCACCAAGCCCAGTTGTATCCATGACCTCTTAAAATCTGTGAACAGAAAGATTAATGGGTACCCAGGACATTTTAGTGGCACCAGGCCTGTGGCTCTTGAGGCTGTCCTTGAACAAATGTTACAAGGTCCTTGAACTTCAGTGCTTTTTTTTTTTTTAATTTCTTTTTTTATATGGTTGTAGGTGGACAGCAGGCCTTTATTTTATTTATTTATTTTTATGTGGTGCTGAAGATCGAACCCAGGGCTTCACACATGCCAGGCAAGTGCTCTGCCACTGAGCTCCAGCCCCAGCCCCAGTGCTTGATTTTAAAAGGAGAGAGGGTGTTATACCCTCCCCATCCCAAGTACCTCCTAGAGACTACTTCAATTTAGCCACATTATCTAGAAACTTCCACACCCCTTGCCTGGTCACGATACCCCCCCTTTTTTTTTTCAAATCCCCAGATTCTACTATATAGCTCCACATTCTTTCCCCTATGTTCCCCCAGCCTTTCAGCCCTATTCCTTCCCATTCCAGTCCCAACAGGGAGCATCCTGTGTTCCTTGTCGGGTTCATTCTCCATCATCCATCCCCTCACTCATGGCTCTCATTCCCTCAAGGCAAAAGCTACACGTCCCTTCCCTCCCCCATCTGCCCACTCAGCTCCCTTGGGCTATATATAGCACAGCTGTGCCTTAGATTGTGGCCAGAGCTTGGAGACTCAGCCCTACCTCCCCCATCCTTGCCCCTTCAACACAACAGAGAGAACATGTTTGAAGGTGCCGACAATGTTGGATAGGGCAGGATGAAAAAGGATGTGCTGAATTTGAGATTTGGGAAAATTTGAGATTTTCCCAATCTGTTGTCAGGGGTGTTCCAGCCTGATACCCATTCCCTGTCACTTGTTCCTTCTGGAGGAAGAGGAACAGACAGTGAACAGAGGAGTTCTGACAACCATCCTATTTAACCCTTGAAGTAATCCTATGGCAGATGCTACCCGCATTTCTCAGGTGAGTACATAGACTCAGAGGTCCAGTGGCATGATCAAATCATTACAGTTATGGGCTAATTGATTCCATATCTGACTTTGGACTATACACCAATTCTGTCTACATCTTTAATTTCAACCCCTCCACATCAAAATTTCTATTAACGTGCCCTGATTTGGAAGGGAAAGAGGTTTACTAAGCAAATTACTAATGTAGAAATGATGAAACGGAAACAATTAGTAAAGACTTGGCATGTTAACAAGAATCATGCTATCATAATTTTATCTTATCTGTTTACTAAAGCAAGACTCTACAGAAATTTGTTCCTTGAAGTTTTAGTTACTGTATGTTCTCAGAAGTTTTTTTGAAATAAAAATACTTTGTATATTTGAAATTAAAAAAAAATTGCTGGGCGGAAGTTGGGCATGGTGGTGCATGCCTATAACTAGGGAGGCTGAGGCAGGAGGATCACAAATTAAAGGACAGTATGGGGGCATAGGAATGGGTTCAATCCCCAGGACCTGTTGCAGGGGGTGGACGTGATGGGGGGTTATCTACATAAAGTAATTAGCACACTGCTTGGCCTATAGAAGGTGCTCAGTAAATCCAGTGAATCACAGCAACTGTTACCATTTTCTCAGCTCTGGGCTGAAATTATGCTGTGGAAGCATCATTATAAAGTCAACAAGGAAAAGCAGAACTTGGCTTTCCATAGGTTGGCCCCTGTTTTTCAAAGAACTTGAAGTTACTCCCGATTCCTATAGTCTTATGCAGACATTTTTATCCCCCTCATCCTGCCTAGATGAGCAAGAATATGTACCATCCATATCTTGAAAGTTCAAGAGGCAGCGCGGGGTGTGTGTGTGTGAAAGACAGGGAAGAGAGTTCCCATGGACGCTCGGGGATATGTGAAAGCTCTGGGGAGTTGCTATAACCCTGAGTCTCTTCATAGAACAGTGAGTGTTAGAGAAAAGAGGAACATCAGCTGCTGGACAAATTTCCAGTGCTGAAAAGGCCCCTTTGGGACACACACAGGGCCAAAAGTAATCTAGAGAAAGAACAAAGGCCTGGGATAGAGTGAGACCCTCCAAGGTGTATCCTCATCTTTCCCAATTTGCATAGCAAGTGCTTTTCCCTCTTCAGTCAAAGGTACTGCAATTGATTTACATGCCTAACCCTCAATATCAATCCAGAGGGTTTCAGTTTGGTCCTCTCTGGTTAGAATTGCAGTTAGGACCAGAAAATTTGAAGCAGCCAGACCTGAGTTCAGATTATAATACCAAAATTAGTTGTGCACCTTGGATAAATCATTTGGTTTCTATGAAGCTCAGTTCCTTCCTCTCTGAGAAGTCTGAAATATAAGTGTCTAATACACAATGGCAATAATGCCAGTCACTGTCATCTCTGAACCTGAGAACCCTACACAAAGGGCTCTAGAGACCCGAAGTCCCAGTTGTTTCAAATCCCCAGACAAATCTCGTTGGTCCAGAAAACATTCCTGAGAGGAGACCAACACCAAGACCAAAGAGTCAGTTTCTCACAAACAGGTATTTTACTTATATTCCATATAGACTATAAGCGTATTGAAAGCAGCTGAGCATGGTGGCATACACCTGTTATAATTTCAGTGATGTGGGAGGCTGAGACAGAGAATCCAAGTTCAAGGCTAGCCTTGTCAATTTGGTGAGACTCTGTTCTCCAAAATGAAAAAGACAGGGATATGACTCAGTTGTAAAAGCACTTGTAGATTCAAATCCCAGTACCTTGGTGGAAAACCTAGGAACTCTGGCCAACTTTGCTTCTTTATCTTCATTTCAGTTCTCCATATCACCACCACGTCTCATCCCACCATCTGAGAACCAGAAGATCACATCTGTTAAAGGATCCTCTCCATCTGGTCTTGTTGTAGGAACAAAGGAGGCAGGGCACCCAAGACAACAGGAAACAGTTTTATTTGGCTGCAGCCAGGTTTAGAAGGCACAGCTTTTGCAGTAATCAATTAATCCCCTGAACCCTTGCAGGTAGTTTCAGAATTTTATACCCAGCATGTAAGGGGAGGGGCTCAGAAGTTCACAGTTTCTAGAAGTTCACATAAAAGCAGCTTTTTCTTCTACTGGATTTGGGCAAGTTAACCCTTCAAGGACAACACCTGAGAAGGGGAGAGCTTCTTCTCCCCTTTCTTTCCTCCCCCTGCCAGCCTGTTACCAGGGAGCCCAATTGGTAACTTATCTTAGAAATGTAGACATCTCTGTGAAGCCCCAGCTCAAGGCTAGAGGCCTTGTTTAAAGGTTTTGTCCTTTTTATTACATTTTACATTTGCAAACACACTTCTACAAACTACTATACTGGATACATGTTTGTGAAAAACAAGTAAAGGGGTGTTCAGCACCTGGAGTGCTGATTTCTTCCCAGCCAATGGTCAAGTAAAGTAGAGCAACAGGAAAATAGGAAGTTTAACTAAACATTAACCTTTTTTTTTTTTGAGAGACTCTTTGCTTTTAGTCTTTTTAAAAAATATTTATTTTTTTAGTTATTGGTGGATACAAAATCTTTATTTTTTATTTTTATGTGGTGCTGAGGATCGAACCCAGTGCCTCACTCATGCTGGGCAAGTGCTCTACCTCTGAGCCACACTCCAACAGTCTTTAAAAAATTATTTTTAGTTGTAGATAGACACAATACCTTTATTTTTTATTTTTATGTGGTGCCAGGGGTTGAACCCAGTGTCTCACACATGCTAGGCAAGCACTCTACCATTGAGCCACAATCCTGGCCCTGCTTATAGTCTTAAAATCAATTATGGTGAAAATTTCTGGAGAAGCTTAGTTCAGATTTTTTTGTGTGTGTGGAGGAGGGGGTGCTGCTACAGTCCAACATGCTTTTCCAGTGTCTGGAGCTCAGCGGATGGGGGGTTAAGACCCATGCCCTGTCCTTTCTCCACCCCTCTCTTCCCCGACTTCAAAGTCTGCACAAAGCTCGAGTCACTGCTTCCCTGACCCCATAGTGATAGCTCCGACATCAGCTCTTGGATGGTTCAAAACAGCAGATGCTGAGCCCTGGCCCTGCTGCTCACGCTCCACTTTCTACCATCTCCTAGGGTAAGCACCAGCATGCTGAGACCTGTGGGGCCACCGGTCATTTCTCCTCCAGGAGAAGAGAAGGGGCAACTAGGAAGAGAAGTTGACTCAAGTAGGGAGAATTGGTCTTATGGTTGGACTTAAGAAGGCATCCCACTGGCAGAAATCCCGCTGTGAGGACCAGGACTACATCTAGTTTGTGAGCAGAGCAGATATTTACAGGGGTTGGCAAGTTAGAACAATAGGAGTTTTCTCCCTAGAAATGGAGGTAGTGGTTTGAAGAGCAGCTCAGAGACCGGAATTTGTTTTAGTATTAATGTGCAAAATACATGCTAAATTATACATAAATCAATGTCCCATCGTTTGAACCTCTGCCTCTGGTGATTTAGTATTCAGTGCTGTTTCTGGGATGACTCTGGCTCCCCAGCGCCAGATCCTACTCTTTAGCTCCCTCAGGAGTAACTATTACAAAACCAGGACCAGTGGAGGCCCCCAAGATTCAAGGACTGTTCCTCTCAGTCTCTGTGGATTTTTCCAGTTGTTTTTCTTGGCCCAAGGATCTTACCCAGTGATGCAAATGGAGGGAAGGGGGGTGGCAGAGAAAACAGTAAAGTCAGAATGAGTTGGGGAAGAAGCAGATGTTGGGAGGAAGAGGCAGACATTAGGAAGGACATGGAGGAAGTGGCTCTAGTGGCCCAAACACCTGAGACAGGATACCCAGGAGGGACATCTTTTCAAGAGGAGACTGTGCTTAGCATGGTGAGAGGATGCTAGCGGGTAACCAACTCCTTTCCACTCCAGACTGAGAACCAGAATTCTTACTGTGGGGTACCTCCTAGGACTGGGCTGAAGTCTAAGACCCCCGGCTGTTAACAACTGGGTCCAGGATCATGTCTGCTAACAAAGGCTGGTGGGTGCCACCTGAGGGCGAGGACAGCGTGTCTGAGAAGTTCCTAAGGAAGACCAGGGACTCTCCATTGGTACCCATAGGTGAGTAGGGAAAAGAATGGGGACATGAAGGGGCAACTTCTCTCAAAAAGATAGTGACTTCTGGTCTTTCCAAAGGAGAATGAGAGGTTGGGGATTTAGTTCAGTGGTACAGTGCTTGGTTAGCAAGAATGAGACCTTGGGTTCAATCCCCAGGACCACCACCACCACCACCACAAAAAAAAAAAAAAAAATGAAGCAGAGGTTAGAGAAATTAAGTGGTCCTAGGCACTGCACCAGGAACAAACCCTCACAATGAGACAAGGGAGTCTGGATGGGTGGAAGTGGTCAGGAACTGAATGCATGGGACAAAGGGAAACTTGGGGCACCAACACCAGCCTCAGGATGGGGAGGGTCAGAATTATAATTTAGGATCCCTCAGGAATTCCTTTAAGTCCCTGGGAGAGCAGAAAAACAGCTGTACCAGGATGTGGGAGCCAGCTGTGGTTAGAGACGGGGCCCCAGCGCCAAGGTGGCATGGTCATGGGGATGGGCTATTTGTATATGGGGAAGGGATACAGCCACTTTAAAAATGCCATCAAGGGGAATCAGCTCAACCTAATGCTACCCGCTCCCCTCTCAAACTGCACAAAAGCAGCCACTTATCTAGCCTCCCAGCCTGTCTAGAGGCTGTCTTATAAGAGGACAATTGAGCTTGAAGGCCAAGGCCAAGGGTTGGTCACATTCTCTGCCCACAGGCTTGGGAGGCTGCCTGCTGGTGGCAGCATACAGAATTTATCGGCTGAAAGCTCGTGGTTCCACCAAGATGTCCATACATCTGATTCACACCCGAGTGGCAGCACAGGCCTGTGCTGTGGGTGCAATCATGCTAGGTAAGCAGCTTGGGGTGGGGGGCAGGTCACAGGAGAAGGGCAAATTGGCTGAGGTAAAAGTCTTGAGTTCTCACAATCAAAGGGCCCTTGACTTCCCACAGGATGCACATCAAACCCTTGAAGAGGCTTCTGAACCGAGACATTGTCAGGGTTCCCTGTTCAGTCTCCTGCCCTGGGCCTGTGGGATGGTGTGCAGCTTGCTTCATGAGGTTGCCCTAGAAATGAGAAATGTCATGCAGCAGAACATGTTGGATCTCTTCCTTTCTTGATAAAAAAGGCAGGAAGCTACTTGCTGTGACAGTAAGCCTGTTTCTGATGTGTAACACAGCTAGTCACCCCAGCTTGCCCACTTCACAGATTGCTGAGGTATCTCAGACAGATACAGAATACACACTAAAGTGCTTTGTGAACTGCTGAATGGGCTGCTCTCACAGGTGTGTGGTTAGATGCATGGAGCAGCTGTTGGGACTGATAAGCAAGGATGCCAAATTCTCAAAGGACCAGCTAGAATGGAAACTTTGGGACACCAGGGGGAGCCACAGAATGGGTACAGGATTCAGATGGCAAGGGGCATTTCTTCTTCCTCCTCACACAGGCGCTGTGTACACGATGTACAGAGATTACAGCAAGAGGACGGCACAGGACACTGGGGAGAAGTAGTGCTCCTGAGGGGGCTGGGTGGCCTGACCCCCTCCTCAGCCTCTGAATGTGCCTAATAAACCAGTAATGAGGAAAGTCAAGTGTCTTCTTCACTAGCAGAGAGCAGAGGAAGGGACCTAGAAGAAAGGCTGGATATCATAGAGCTTTGGTTCCCAACTCCAGGGACAGGGAGACATATAAGGGGCAGTAGTCTCCTAAGGTCAAGGTAGGCAGACCTTAAATCCCAGAATCCCATCAACTCCCATACCACCTCAGGTCTGCCCAGAAGCAGCATGGAGTGGGCACGGGATGGAGGGGCAACGAAGGGGCCTTGAGGCTCATGGGAACACTGAAGTAAGAGAAAGGCGTTCCTCCACAGACTGCTTTCCCTGGGGACCCAGGCAGGAAGGAGGCAGCAGCTGGAGCAGAGGCAATGATGCCTCATGGGAGATGACATATATCCAGAATGTAAGCACAAGGACTAGACGGGATGGGGGTGCGGCGGATGAAAGAAGCAGGCCAAGGCAGAGGTCAGAATTTTCTGTTCATTTACAAAACACAACTAAGGTTGAACTTGTAAAAAATAAAATTCCATGTAAATCCTGAAGACAGTGGCTCTTGGGGTTAAAAACTTTCATCCTCCAGGCTGGGCATGCTGGAGGATTGCGAGTTCAATCCAGCCCGAGCAATTTAGCGAGGTGGTAAACAACTCAGTGAGACCCTGTCTCAAATAAAATACAAAATTGGGCCAGACATATGGCTCAGTGGTCGAGTGGCCATGAGTTTAATTCCCAGTACCACAAAAAATTTCCAAACAAACTAACAAACAAAATAACATTCATCCTCTTCTCTTTCCCTGGGTGGGCCCAAGCTCTTCTCTCTCTTCCTTGGGAATGGAGCCAGGCAGAGGCCACAGAAAGAATCAGGAGGCCAATGGCCCTTCTTCACTGGGACTCTGGACTGGAGGTTTGTGAGTTGTTCATCATGGCCACAGCAATTCTCAGACACTCTTTGACAACACGAAGACCAAGTAACACAGGTCTCAGCTTCAAGTCCAGGAACTGCCAGGAACACCTGCACTCACATGGGGTAATTGAGCACAACATCTTGTTTGGCGAGCTCCAGCAACATAGGATCGTCGAAGAACTTGCTGATGCTCACATCTTCACTCAGGCCCTGTGGAGAATGGGGGCAAGTGCAAGAGTGAGCTCCATATGGGGACTGGCTGAGCTAGGGGCTGTCCAAGACCTGGGCTGGAGGTGGAGGCTGGCAGGAACTCGAATGCAGGTAACTATTCAGAAGCTGTGCCTTTAGGGTACTGTCACAGCCCAGAAGACACTCCTCTCCAAGCTCCCTTTTCCCTAAAGGCCCCAGTTCTGGTTGTCTAAGGAATGTACAAATCACTTCCTTCCACACTGTGATGCAAACTAATCTCAGTCTATAGGCCCTCAGGAAAAGGGTCCATGAAGAAGAAAGGAACCAAACTTCTGCTGAGGCTCCTGGGGGTTGAGGGACTACAATGGGCCTGAGGAACACGTACCTTCCTACGACGGGTTTTAATCATGAATTCCCGGGCCAGGTGAGGAGCTGGCTGTGGCTCCAAGGGGCGGATGACAATGCTCTTGTCCAGAGGATCACCAGGTACAATCTGAAAGGCAAAGGGTTTCTAATGTTGTAGGCAGACTTGGATTTCAGAGGCTTCAAGCCCAAAGCAGGATACTAAACACCTCACTTGGGGGGTTGGGGAAATAGGTTAGATAGGGATCAGCTTGTATAGGTGGAAGGCCAGGCTGGCTGGTTTGCCCCATTTTCTTACCTGCCAATGGTGGAAGACAGACAAAGAAAAGGCCTGTCCCTGGGTATGAGTCCGGAGATCAGTCTCAAAGCCAAAAGAGTCGATGGCTGGAATGAAAGCTTTGATGGTGTAGAGAGGGGAGCCTGGGATGGGTGCATCCTGAGTCACATGGCCCCTGGGACAGAAAGGCAAAGGTTGAATCCTTACGTATACAGAGGCCAAAAGCCAAGGAACAATCTGGCTTTTGCTGCTCCCAGATTCAACCTAGCCCAGAGTTTCCAGCAAAGAAAAAATAACCAAGAATGCTCTACAGAGAGCAGAAAAAGCAGACAGGATAGGGTCCTAGAGATATTCACATGGTTGACTTGCTTCAGTACTTCCCCCAGGAGCTCTATGAGTAGGGGTCCAAGAAATTTCAGTTGTAATTTGTGATAAAAGCCAGAGATTGCCTCATTCCTCTCCTACTTCCTTCTGGAAAGTGAGCTGACTGGGTCTGGAGTGGACAGATTTGAGGCTAAGCTCTACTCTGCCCCCTCAGCAGCTGAGGCATTTCCTGTTCTGCTCTTGATCTTAGCACTCTCCCTGACATACTGGGGTTGCTCACCTGCGCCTGGCCAGGACAGTATAAACGGCAGATACACAGTCTGCAGGGGCCTGGACCTCTACAAAGTAGTAAGGCTCCATCAGACGAGGAGTGGCCTGCAACAGAGCAGGGAGGAAGGGCTCAGCTTGGGGAGGGCTGAGAAGGGAGACCCTGGATAAAATGTCTCCAGGCACCCAAAGCCTGGTCCTCTACTTATCGCCCTGTCTAGGGAAACAGGATGGTCCCCTACAGCCCTGCTCTTACCATAAGGAAGGCAGAATAGACAACTCTCCTGGCTGTGGGGATAATCTGGCCTCCACCCCGATGCAGAGGCTCCTGAGCAACCACCGCATCCAGGATCTTAAACTTGACATTCCGAATCACTAAAAAGGAGATGAGGACAACTCTGTGAGGTTTGGTTCTGGGGCTAGTCACAGGGCTATATCAGAGCAGTACAGAATCTTGCTATATTACATACATCACAGCCACACAAAATGTGGTACAAAAATCACACTGGAGCTGGGCACAGTGACACCACCTGTTAATCCCAGCAACTCAGGAGTACGAGGCAGGAGTACCAAGTTTGAGACCAACCTGAGCAACTCAGCGAGATCCTGTCTCAAAATAAAAATTAAAAAAGGGCTGAGGATGTAGCCAGTGCTACAGCACCCCTGGATTCAGTACCTTATATACACACTATCTGAGAATGGGTGTTCTAACCAGATCAAGAAAGTGTGTGGTAAAAGAGGTTAGCAGTTAAGTATACATTTGATTCAGGCCATAAGAGCTTTTCTACAAATTTGTGGGTTTTTTCCCCCCCCTGCAGATATTAAACCTTTTTGTTTGGAAGCAGAATAAAGTTCTAGGAATTTCACATTTAGTCCCATGAAGTCCAATCTGGGTCAATAAGCCACTCCAATCTCAGTCTTCACTATATCTCTTGTCACATACACCCAAAGACAGCTCCCATTCAGGAGTGAGAAGCAATGTTGGTCTAGAAGTGACTTCATCTCTAGGAAGTGCCAAGTGGTGGCAATGGGATAAGGAAAGGGGAGGAAGTTGGCCCAGGACATGGGACAGACCCTATGTACATTCCTAGCTGCTTCTCTGGCTGGGTCCCATGGATGGGGGAGGCGCTATGGACTTACATTCATCACACAGGGGCCCCTCCCTGGTTCCCCACTGGAAACCTTGAACGATGCTATCCTTCACTGAGCCAAGAAGAGCCTTGTCCACCTGTAGAGAAACATGAAGGCTCCTCAGCAATCCTCCTACCAACCGAAAAGTTGAGAGGGGCAGAAGAGAGGTATAGCTAGGAGAAGACCCTCTCCTTCACCAGAGAACTCAAAATATTTTGAGAAAAGGAGGACACACTGCAGTTTCCTCTACTCAGAAGCTATAAAGAGTGCCACGTGGTTCCCATCAGTTCTGCAGTACCTCAGAGGGCAAGGTATCATCCACCAGGATGTTGGGGCCTGTGGCATCAGGGCCAAAAGCCCAGATAGATCGGGCAGCCAGCAGATCCCAATCATACTTGGTCTGGAAGAACTCTCCTAGCTTCTTTCTGGGGAAAGGAGAAAATGGAGGTATCAGACGGCTCTGTTGAAGGCTTCGGGACCATGGACCCTCCCTTTCTGGAGAAGAGTCACCCCATTCAGCCCATTCTGTGCTCGGAACATTAGCAAAGGCGGGACACATAACTCCTTCCCAGAACGATGTGTGGCAGTTAAACTGTGGCATCAGCCCTAGAGGCAGAGCCATGCACCCACCTGTTCCATGTGATCTGAACCACCTCGTTCTCTATGTCTTCGGCAAGGCCCTTCTCAAGAGGCTCAGCAATCATGGTGATCTTGTTCCTGGTGAGAAAGACAAAGGCAATGAGGAGGGCTCACAGGACTAGGGGGGCATTCCTAAGGAAAGGGCAACAAAGCGGACAGCTGAGGCAGTGACATCAGAGGAAGCCTCAGGGGCAGGGTGGAACAAAGGACTTGTCTTCTTTCATTTCAGTCTATTAGTTTGTTAAACAAGTGGAGCTATAGCTGGGAATGTAGTTTAGTGGTAGGGCACATGCTTAGCACATGCAAGGCCCTGGGTTCCATCCTTAGTAGCAAAAAAAATAAATAACAATAATTTATTTTGGGGGCAAATTTTTATTTTATCACATGACAGAGGAAAAGTGGCAACTATGGAACTCCTCTTGGTAATATATAAGACAAAGGATTCACACAGCATCTTGTCCAAAAGCATAAGGGACAAGGGGCTGGGGTAAACACAGGTATCTTAAGCACAAGCACCTTCTCTCCCTGTCTTGGGTGTCTCTACTTCCACAGTGCTGGGCTGGGGGTGGAACTGGGGTGAGTGTAGGGGGACAGTGTCCTTGAGGCTGCCAGTCCAGGGACACTATGCTCCCAGCTTACTTTTTATTGGGTGTTTCAGCAAAGCACTTGAGGGAGGATGTTTCCACCACCGTCTCACAAAACGTGACCACTGGGTCAGCCACCTGAGAACAAAATAAACTGCTGAGGCAAAGTCTACTTTTGTTGGAAGGACAAAGTTCTACCTAAGGGAACTCTGAAGTGCCCTTGGCTCTCCCTCTTTGAGAACCCGTTTCTTCACCAGCACAGGTTAACAGGCACAATGTAGGCCGTAGCACTGTCCATGCCATCACTAAAAAACCTGAGAAGACAGTAAAGGCATTTTATTCCTGAGCCAAGAGTA